AATTATCAGTTTAATTTTCTAATTAAAACTGAACATGAATAAGTAAAATGAGCATAAATGTAATTTCACACAACCAAATTTTGCTGTTTTTGTTTTTCAAAGTCACATCTATATGTAATCTTAACATATCTCTAATTAAAAACTTAAATAATAATAATAATAATAATAATAATAATAATAAACTTCTCACTCCCATATTCTCTATCACTCTCTTCCTCTCTTCTTCTACTTCAAAAAAAAAAAAAAAAAAAATTCACACACACTTGCCCATATGCGAGTTATGGAAGAAGAAAATCAAACTTAAGACTTGGAGGACATGAATAAATATTTTTAACCAACTAAGCTACAAATTTCTTATATCTTTTTCATCTTCCTCTTTAAATGAAATAAAAAGAAACGGCTAGTTATAAATAAGTTAAAGTTTAGGTGCAACGACAATATCTTAACTAAATTAAAGTTTAGGTGTTGCGATAAATATCGTAATTAAGTTAAAGTTTGATAGCACCGACTATTATTTCTTCATAAAATCAGCAATTGTCTTTTCGTAACCTAAAATTTACTATAAAACAAATGAAAGTGCCACTAAAATGCAACTTAATTACGATACTGTCAATGCAACCAAACTTCAACTTGTTTACGCTATTACCACTTAGTATTACGGTGTAGTGATATTCCTCTTTATTTGTAAGTGAGAGGTCTTAGTGTGACATCCCACATCGTCCAGGGGAGTGATCCTTAAATGTATATTCCTATCCCTACCTAGCACGAGGCCTTTTGGGAGCTCACTGGTTTCGGGTTCCGTAGGAACTCCGAAGTTAAGCAAGAATGGGGCTAGAGCAATCCCATGATGGGTGACCCACTGGGAAGTTGCTCGTGAGTTCCCAAAAACAAAACCGTGAGGGAATGGTAAGCCCAAAACGGACAATATCGTGCTATGGTGGTGGAGCGGGTCCGGGAAGTGATCCGCCCTGGGCCTGGGTGTGACAAATTGGTATCAGAGCCTATCCCTGGCCGGAAATGTGCTGACGAGGACGTCGGGCCCCTAAGGGGGGTGGATTGTGACATCCCACATCGCCCAGGGGAGTGATCCTTAAATGTATATTCCTATCCCTACCTAGCACGAGGCATTTTGGGAGCTCACTGGCTTCGGGTTCCGTAGGAACTCCGAAGTTAAGCGAGAATGGGGCTAGAGCAATCCCATGATGGGTGACCCACTGGGAAGTTGCTCGTGAGTTCCCAAAAACAAAACCGTGAGGGAATGGTAAGTCCAAAGCGGACAATATCGTGCTACGGTGGTGGAGCGGGCTCGGAAAGTGGTCCCCCCCCCCCGGGTCAGGATGTGACACTTAGGTTCAATTATCTCCGAAGGTGAATGTAAACCATATTATTGCTAGCTCATTGTGAGGCTTAGCCCACTCCCCCACCCTCTTAACTTAGATAGTATTGTTTATTTAAAAAAAATTGTTAAAACTCTTTTTTTATTGTGAAGTCTTTTTTATTATCACTTTTTTTTATATTATTATTACAAATGATATTACTACTTTAAGGTATATCAAAAAGGCAACTGGTAGATTGCTTTAGTGGATTGTGTCTTTCTTTTCAATACACAATGTCTTTGGTTCAAAACTCTCCCTGCTTTCCTTAGTCAAGCTTATAATAGTAATTTCGCTTATAACAGAAAAAAAAAAAAAATATATATATATATATATATATATAAACAAAATTAAGGGAGGGAAAAATTTTAAATCTGGAATAGAGTAGGGTGAATAAAAGAACTCTATACCGTATACATAAGAGCAATTCAGTAATTCGCCGCTTATCAAGATTCTTAAGCCTTAAATTTAGTAAATTATTGATAAAAGATGTATCATATGTTTGATTCCCCTCCGCAAAACAATAAAAATAAATAAATAAATAAAATACACCATCGTTGTGCAAACCCGCTTTTGTATTCGGCATGGGGACTCGGGGCTTAAATCACCTGATCCACTCCAAAACTCTTTTTCTGATTGAATCCTTTCTTGGCCCTTCTTCCGTATTTGTCTTTCGGGCTTTCTAAGCTCTATCGCTTGTCATCAACAGATAATATTTGGCTGTTCTTATGTGTAATAGGTAATGTGTTATTTATTTTATTTTCTTATATAAAATACATTTACATTAACAGGTAAGGGAATTAAAGTCTTCATCTACAAAGTTTGAATATAAATCATTGAACTGTAATACTAAGTGACACAAACAAAATTAGTTTTTTTTCTTCTCAGGTAGAAAAAGATTAGGCGAGATTATCTATTCGACAATAGTTGTGTGCGAGACACCTACCTCCCCGAAAAGAAGAGGACCATTGCACCTAGAAACCTCCCGCATATCCCTTTTCCACCAAATTTGTTGATAATAATGAAAGTAAACGAAAAAAATACAAGCTGGGGGACTATGCCAAGAAGCCAAAGACAACATGATCAACGAAAACGATAATAAGAACAAAATGAAATGTCATGAGCACGGGCAAATGCAACAAAATCTAGAACCGTAGACTAATAAGCATTTTGCCCCAAATTAAGCTAAAGCTTCTGCAACTTGATTTCCTTCTCTATAAATGTGTACATATGCATCGCATGACGAAGCCACCAAGGACAATTCATTTAAATCTATCATTAGAAACCAAGGACCTCATTAAAAGCGTTAAAAAGATAACGATTACTTTTCTTTTTTTTTTGGGTATACGTGTGACTTGTCAAACTATTGTTTGTACATAAAGTAAGGGAATTGTTATTAGCACTCCAAAAATCTCATTCTACACTTCTCACAAATGTATTTTTCTTTCTAATTATAGAAAGTTAGGAATGCCAAATGAGATTTTTGAAGTGCTAATAACAATTCCCTAAAGTAATTGCTTAAAAGATAGGCCCATCAATTAATCATGACTTCCCCAACCCTATCAGCTTTGGTGCAGGGTGGACCAAGGAGTTTTGGGGATGAAGGACAAGTCACCTAGGATTCGCTCGGGAAAACAAAGTTTTCTCGATGTTGTTAATTGTGGATTCACTCATACGACTAAGCTAAATGTTTGATTTTAGAAGGAGAAATAACCCACTTCAACTGCAGAAGACAAATGTGTGTTTCTTAATTAATCAAGTCTGCACACACAAAATTTGATTTGATGCACGATTTGTTGCGTTGGAAACTAGACTCCCAGAAATTTCGGGTGATATATAACTCTTCAAATGAAAATCACTCACTTCAATTGTACAAGGCATATATTAATATGTTTCTTTACTAATTAATCAAGTCTGCCATTCTAGGCATTCTAATACACTTTAAAAGGCTTATAATATTATATAAACCTCTTCTTTCTATGGGACTCTTACAAGACTTAACAAATTCCTAAGTGACAACATTTTAAGTTTAATTAAACCTTATACTCCCCATACAATTGGTTGTCATTTAATGGACTTTGTGTTCTGCATCAAGCTTAAACATTTTAACAAGATATCTACCAGATCATCTTTACCTAACGCTACTCTAATCAATCACAACCACCAATTAGTTCCCTCAGCATTCATATCTTGCATCCTAATTAGGCCCAAATCTTTTTCATATACATGTAGCTGCATGGATATATAAGAAAGGTGAAGTTCGTAAAGTGAAGAAAAAAAAAAAAAAAAAAAAAAAGGTTACGTACCATCAGCGTAAAGGTACCTTCATGATAAGGCAGTGGAATTCGAAAGCTTTAACCAGCTACATTTATCCGAATATAAGTATGGAATGTGAACACTATACAATCTTGTTTCGTACCAAAGTTTGCATTAAAAGGGCAAGCCAATATTTTAACGTACGTTAAAGGAAAGAAATGAGAAAATTGTAGCTCTTCAAGAAAATAAATGGATTGCTGAGAAAAAAACTGATCAATCATGTAGGTACAAATATTTTGGTACAAAAAAGTTAATATTATATATTTTGACACAGTCATTTTTGTACACTTATGTATTTATATATTTTTGTATCACAAATTTCTTTTAATATTTTCTCATTTATGTTCATTTATAATTAAAGAACTAAATATGTGCATATTAATAAAATTAAAATTTAATGTGGAGACATTAAATAAAAATACACATTAAATAACAAAATTGAATATAAATTTTGATAAAAGTACACTTCAAGAGATTAAGTTGAATATGTAATTTAGCACCAGATTTTTTTTAAAATTTTAATCTTTTGTAAGAACTAATGTTCAAAAACCCTTTTATTTTTTCTATATTCTATAATTTGATATTACCTAAGAAAAAATCGAACACAAGACTTCTAATGTAGAGGTTCGTACTATTAAAAACTGTGAGCTTCAGTTCTTTGCTTACGAGAATATATAATTCCATGTATAATCTTTCAAAAAAAAAAAAAAACAGCGTACTACATTATTAAAATTAAAATCTATGTGACTAACTTGAAATAACGGAACATTCCTAAGATTTATGCGTGGTTAACCGAAATGACTGCCAAAGCCTATGAACCACAAGCATGTCTGGTATCCTACAATTTTCTATCAGTTTCCAGACCATTCTATTTTTAGCGGTGAGCATGAAGGCGAGGGTTTGCTGCTCACTGTGGGGTTCACGAAGGGAAGACGAAACTTGGTTCCTAGCGAGACACGTGTCAATGGATTCAATCAAATCAAGTGGTGAAAAAATGCGGTATAAAAATTCGCATCTTAGCTCTCGATTCCTGGCATCTCTCTATCGAGATCCAAACTGGACAGGGCCTAAAGAAAACCAACGGCTCACATTCTCCCTCGCCCTCTCTCTCCTTCCCCCAATAAATTCACCGCCACCAGAGAACAACACCTCGTAAGCTTCACAACTTTCACAAACCTTAAACGAACACCAAAATAAAAGCCCTCCTCTGTCTCTGTTTCGCAACCTTCGATTTCAATCATGAACGTGTTGGATTCTAATCTCGAAGCTCTTGCTTTCAATTACTTGAGCTTCGGATTGTTCACAACAAACATTCGATTTCAATCATGAACGTGTTGGATTCTAATCTCGAAGCTCTTGCTTTCAATTACTTGAGCTTCGGATTGTTCACTGTTGTGAACAATCTGTGGACTTGGGTCGCCGTTTTGACCGCTGCCGTTAGCTTCTGGGGGCTCAGACCCAGAGCCGCCGCCACCAGGGCCATCTCTTCTTCTTCCGCATTGAAATTCCACTCCCAACCTGCCATTTCCGACCTCAGCTCAAATGGGTCGTCGCCGGTTCCCGAGATAACTCAGTCAAATTCCGCGGCGAAGAAGGTGGAGCCACCATGCTTTGTTCCAGCATTGGCCAAGTTCGATGACAGCAGAGTGCAGCTGACAAAGGGTTCGAAGTTTGCGGTGTATTTTGAGGATAGTAACGTTGAGAGTGACCTGATAGCGACCTCATCGCCGACGCCGGAGGAGGATGAGACAGAAGAGAGCGGCAGCGATGAGGTGGTGGCGGCTAATTGGTGGGAGGATGTTTTGACGTTGAGAACGGGAGAGATGAGCTGCTACAGGTACCAGGACTTGACGGAGCTTAACGGTAACGTCGTTAGATTATGGGATGATTACACTAAAATAGTTGGTGAAACCGCGTCCCGCTCAGCAAAACCAAAGCGACGTGTCGTTTGGTAGTTAGATTAGCATGTGGTTTTAGGCTTTATTATGCATCAAGGTCTTGGGATTGAAGGTTCGAAGAAGAACTTGTAAATACATTTTGTTGGGTTAAACATGATTAATAAACTCAAATCAATGCAAATTGCAACGCTACTTGTTGCATTTTTTATATAATTCCTAGTTGATCTCTGATTTAATTGTGCATGCCCGTGTGCCTATTATAAAGTATAGGGTAATGTTAGTTACGTCAAATTCTTAAAACAAATTTACAAATAAAATGATGTGTCATCAATAAAAACACATTAATCAATACTTAAGTAATAACTCAATCATCAACAGCAACATCATTTGGTTATAAAATTTGATCTCTCTAACATTACTTTACAATATATAGAATTGGCAGCTGGTTGGATGAGGAGTGTTTGCAAATTGATGTAAGAATTGGCACTATCCGATGTTCCATTATTGCATGCACATCAAATCGCTTCTGTCTCTATTATTGGACATATAGGTTTCGGTTGTATATCTTCTTGTATTTACTAAGTTATGTAATTGGTTAACGCCATATATTATTGTGTCTATCATATTGTGTGGGATAATCAATCAGTTGTATGTCTTCTTCCGTTGTCAACAACGAGAGAGTTTGTTTTATAATCAATTGTATATGCGCTTGTACCTACTAAGTCATGTAATATGTTAACAACCTTCGATTCTCAACCACAAGAAAGTTTGCTTGATAATCGGATGTTGATCCTCTTGTGTATACCAAGTCGAGTAATGAGTTGTATATTCTCTTGAATTGCGAAACTACAGTACCAGACCAAATTGGGAAGAACTTATTTCATGTACAATGTTTAACTAAGCCTTGTGAAGCATAGAAGAATTATGTGTTAGAAACACAACAACAAAACTTTATCCATGTCAAGTTTCAGCCCTTATCAACAATCCCACTGAATTGTAAGAGAAGATAGCATCTAATTAATTAACTATTAAGACTAATGCGGGGGTAGTTGTTCTATTATGGATGTGTTACGAATGATTGACAACACTGATTGCAACCATGTAACCAACTTTTGAACGTAGATAGGGATAGAGTGATGCAAGTTGTTCTTACTTACGAGTAAGATTGACCGGTGCATAAACGAGATTTAGGATAAACTATAGGGACAAATAGAAAAAATGGGGAAAAATAATTCGATAGGCTAAAGTCTGGCCTGCGTCTACATATTTTTACCCATATGTGCTTGTTGTAAATCACGTAATGAATGTTACAGTAAGCAATCATGGTCTCAAGTTGCCTACCTGTGGAGAGGAAATGGTGTGTCATTGAAATACATTGCCTCTTATGTTAAAGCGATGTACATATATTCGGTTGTAAGTAAGATTCTCTTCTTGTTTTGGGGAAGCAAATGTTTGTTCTGTGTCAATTATTTGCATGGTGGGTTACAGGTAGGAGGTTGTCCAGTTGCTATAGTTGTTTTGTGTTTCCCACCAAAACCACAGCCGATTGCAGCCATATGTTACGTTGGGAGAACGTCATTCGTAATGACCGCGGACACGAGAACTTGTCCGCAACAAAGGTATATATGATCCTCTCGTTTTTGGATTGTCGTGGATTACTTCCACTATGTCTCATTTAAATCTCCGCACCCCTCAGTTTGAAATTGAAGTGCGACGTATTCTAAATCTTCAGAGCATGGCTCAAAGCATGCCAGATGCTTTTACTGATCTAGCAAAGGTGGCAAGATCACATATACCCGTTGCAAACGAACTTGCAAGGATGGACGTACTTAACGTACATTGTAACACTGCCTTGGAAGGTGGGACTATCCCCGATGGTGGGGTGGCTGCACCTCCCACATGGCCCAGTACACTGGCGGCTAGCCAATCACCTGCTTCTACCCTAAAACGTGACAGGCCCCCTGGTTCAAAGGATTCATAACATCGGAAGAGGAAAATGGCACAAACTAGTGACTCTAGTATGAATCCAACCATTGCTTACTCATCTGTTCCAACGCATGTGGTTATTCTATATTACGGTGATGTCTTAGATGAGACATACCAACCTCCTGAGAATCGTGATATTTCGGTTCATTACGCAGTATTGGATAAGGTTTGGAATCAGAATGAGATTGAACCACGTATTGGATGAGGTTCGGTCCATTCGTGAGATTTCGGTCCATTACGCAGTATTGGATGAGGTTCGGTCCATTTGCGTATGCCATTGCTTTCGACATTTTGCTTAGCAATGACATTGAACCACTTTCATTGATGAATGTCGACATAGAACAGATTGGTCAAACTGGAAACAAGCAATCAAACTTGATTCGCTTGCGAAATGTAAGGTGTTTGGGCATGTAGCTCCTACTCCACCCCATGTGAAGCCTGTGGGCTACAAGTAGGTTTTCGTGAGGAAGCGTAATGAGAAAAATGAAATAATGTGATACAAAGCACACCTCGTAGTGCAAGACTTCTCTCAGCGCCTTGGGATTGATTACAAGGAGACATATTCCTCCATAATAGACGTCATAATGTTCCGCTACCTTATCAGTTTGGTAGTTTCTGAAAAACTGAATATGCAGCTTATGGACGTGGTAACCATGTATCTTCATGGGGATCTAGATACGGAAATGTACATAAAAGTTCCAAAAGGACTTCCATTGACTGGTTCAAATAATTCTAGACCATGGAACATTCTCTCGATTAGATTGAGGAGATCACTCTATAGATTGAAACAATCCAGGCGGATGTGGTATAACCGTCTGAGTGAATATTTGACAAGTTAGGGTTATGTGAACAACGAATTATGCCCATGCGTGTTCATAAAGAAGTCACATTCCGGATTTACGATTGTTGCAGTTTATGTCGACGACAATTGGAACTCCCGCAGAACTTGAGGAAATTGTCGTTCATTTGAAATCAGAATTTGAGATGAAAGATCTTGAAAAAACTCGATATTGTCGAGTACTCTTATGGTCATTCAGACTCTAGATGCTAAACGAGATCCCTTATGTCCAAAGGAGGATGAGGAAGAGATTTTGGAGCCTGAAATTCCAAACCTAAGTGTAATTGGTGCTTTATTGTACTTGGCTCAATGCACTAGACCCTACATCTCCTTCGTTGTTAATCTTTTGGCTGGATACAGCAATGCGCCTACACGCAGACACTGGAATGGTGTTAAAGATATTTTTCGCTACCTCAAGGGTATGATGGATTTGGGTTTGTTCTACACCCACGAATCATCGAGAGTAGCCGCTGCACCCCTCGGTCCTCGAGTTGATTCTCACCTTGTTGGTTACGCAGATGTTGGTTCTCTGTCTGACCCACATAGGGCATATTCTCTGTATTTACCATTGGAGACACCGTTATATCTTGGAGGTCTATCAAGCAAACGCGAGTTGCGACTTCTTCGAACCATGCTAAAATTCTCGCCCTGCATGAAGCATTGCGTGAGTGCTTTTGGTTGAGAGCAGTCATGGAACATATTTGAAGCACTAGTAGTCTTACTTATGTCGTTGACCTTCTTACGACAATCTTTGAAGATAATGCAGTATGTATCGAGCAGTTAAATAATGGTTACATCAAAGAAGATAACACCAAGCACATAGTGCCGAAGTTCTTTTATTCTCACCAGTAACCACATCATCAAAACATTGAAGTAAAGCAAATTTGTTCCTAAGACAACTTGGTTGATCTCTTCACCAAGTCATTGTCCAAGTCTACTTTTCAAAAGCTCATCCAAGGAATCGGTATGCTAAAGCATACTTACTTGATCTTGATGTACTTTTTTTTCTTACGATTAGGAGCATTTTTTCCACTGGGTTTTTGCTACCTAACGAGGTTTTAACGAGGCACCCATCCTGAGATGATCATACTCCGTTGAGTTCATTACTTTTGTCCTGTTTGATGTTTGTTTTAAGACATTATGCATACTTCTCACTTTTCTCCTTAGTCCATGGGTTTTCACCTGCCTTAGGTTTTACTAGAGCAAGGTTTTCGTGAGTTTTACTACCCATGCATACTTTCTTTTAAATTTGAGACTCACATTCCCCGTTGTGCCGACAACTTCATCAACTGTTTTACCTTATCTGCTAAAGATCTGATGCAATGCTTTGTTTGAGTATCTACACACTCAAGGGGGAGTGTTGCAGTCCTATTTGATTATGAATGTGATTGTGTAAATCCTAGTATATCTAGGAGTTTCTTTGTATATTCTCTTTAGTGGTTAAATTCCTATTAGAGTTGTAATCCTAATAGAGTAATGATTTAATCTACCCTACTACTATAAATAAAGGCACAATAGGGTGATACAACACACAGCTCAAAATTACGTCTCTCTCTTTCTCTTTGTTGTCGACGGCCCTTCTCCTTCTCTGTATTAAATACAGTTCAGTCAAATAGGCCTACAATAATAATAACCACATAATGATCAATTTTTTGAATTTTTTTTAATATTATGACAAGTTGAAGCTAATGACGACAGTGTGACAAAATAATGATGATATCATAATAATAAATTTGGTCTGATATGCAATTAACCAATAGTTAGTGCCCATTGCAGATTCTATTTTACAAAATGGACTTCTTTGGAATTGTGTTTTGAAAATAACGCTATTTTAGATAAAATCCCATATATTTTTGTGGGCAAGTCTCTTCTAAAAAGATATACGTATGCTGTATATAAGTTTTTTTCCAAACGCTCGTTAGAAGAAAGTATTCTTCCTACAAATTATCGTTGCAAGTCTCTTTCTAAAAAAGATATACATAAGTAAGTTTCTCTCGAACTGTAGGACATTTACATGGACTATTACCAGTACCCAAATAATTGAGCATGAAATCCCAATTTGTGAATACAATATGCTCAATAGCTTTTCTTTTTTTTCTTTTTTTATTTTTATTTTTTTATATATATATAACAAATAATATTATCTACACTAAGGGAGAGAAGAGTGAGCTTAACTTCACAATAGACTAGCAATAATATAGTTCAAATTCGTTTTTTTTTTTTTTATAATTTTTTTGTAGAGACGGATTAGGTAAGATTAGTTATTCGTCAATAGTCGCGTGCGAGGCACCAACCCTCTCCCAAAGGAGAAAGGACCGTTGCACCCAGAAACCCCCTGCATGTCCCCCCTCTACAAGATTTTATTAATAATAAGAAGAAAAAAGGAAAA